TCCTCCCAGAGTGGTTTTTTTTTTTCCCCCTTCAAAAAGGCAACAATTTTCTGTCGACGAAATCAAAATGTGAATCACTTCTTCCTAGGGACAAGCAACCCTCAAAGACAGCAAGGAATGCATTCTAGTTCATCCACTTTCGGCAGTTTACAGCTCCACAGTGACATGGAATCTTGTGCTGGTCATCTTCAAAATCAAACTTATAGTCATAGCAAAGCTGGAAGAAGATGCAGGAGAATGGTTATGGAACAACTGGGATTTACCACAGCTTTCCTCGTACCGACAGGTTAAATAGCAAAATAGGCTAGAGGTTGCACTGTTAGGAACTGGCAAGATTTAAAGGGAAAGAAGAGAAGGGAAATGTCACTCTCCCCCACCCTGGCACAAACAAGTCGTGCTACTGGCCGTAGAAATCACGTCAGTATCTAGAAATGAATGCAAGTAGCAACAGGCAAGTAAAAACAAAGGGAGGGCCCTACCTCCTCCCCTTTCTGGATTCTCCTGCTGGAGCTGATGATAATTTTGTGTCCTCTCTCAAAAGTCACCACCTCAGCCACACAGTTAGGTGCACACGAATGGTTGATATACCTATGAAAACAGAGTTTGAAAAAGGTAACCTTTTAAGAAAATGCATCCCTTGAGGCAAATCCAAACCTTAAAATGACCTTAGCTTCAGGGGCACACTGACTTTCCAGATATCATTATATTACTCTCTACTTGTTTCTTTACCTAGAAAATGTCAAAAAAATCAAGCGTTAAAAAAAAGAATTCCATTCTTCCTTCATGGCTGCCATGAAAAGTAATCAAAGATGGGCAAAGCTAATGAAAAAGAAAACATCGTTTCAGTGGAATAGTCAGAAGGCTGAATGTACCAGCTCAGAGAATAAAAACCATTGAGAAAACCACAAACTTGAGTCCCTCACAAAGAGCCCGTGGCCAGGGAACGTGGATGACGACTCCGAACGAGGTCAGAGACCTCTCCAGAGCCACCCACCTTGCAGGACCTCCCGTCAGGGTAGCATCGATGACGTGGTCATTGTCAATGCGGAACATGTACACACCACGATTCTGAAAAACAGAATTGGAAAAAAGACTCTTGGAGATTTTACGTAATTGTCAATGATAAAAACGAAGCAGCACTGCGGGTTACCTCCAAGTGGTCTTCTGCATTCAGGACCAGACATTGCCCAGTGGCTCATGAGGGAAAGTGAGTCCCACACTGCCCTTACCCTCACTGGTTTGTGAGGGAATGGATAGGTCATTCTGGCGAACGAGTATCTCCCTAATAGCTTCTGTACTGCCTTTCATCTGGGATCTTGAAGCGCTTCACAAGTATGTACTAACTGTTACAATACCACTGGGTTACACAAAGGAAGTTGCTTTAAATTTAAAGAAGTTCTCATTAAAAATTGAGGTCCTGACATCTCTGTCAGAGCTCTTTGTCCTCTGGGACAGAGAATATGTATTACCTATGGCCAGGGTGCCCTGAAATTTATTAAACATTTAAATACTCTGATCGTTTGATAAGAAACAATGAAGACTCCTCTGGTTGTATTTTTAGCCTATTGCATTTATAGCACAGCAGCAAATAGAATTCAGGGGACCTGAATCCATCAAATAGAAGGACAGCATTTGTTTTGTTGTATGAACGTTTGAAAGGAGAAGGGGAAAGAAACAGTGGACAAACACCACCCACCTGGGATTCATAAAGCTTCTCTTTCCTGTTTGCTACCTCATTCCGGATAATAGTTCCGATGTATTCAATGACCATAGTGTGCTTTTCAATGTCTCTAGCAGCATATAAGCCCAGGCCCTACAAAAAATACATTGCGATTTAGAATTCTGTAATAAACTTACATTTACACTGCATTCCTCACCGTGCCCCAAAACCGTTCCTGCAGAAAATCATGTGAAAAGTAAACTACCCAGAAAGAATGATGCGGCACAGATAAGTAACTGATGTTGTAACAGCCCAGATGCAGAACCCACCTTCACATTAAATTTTTGAGATGCAAGAAAACATACTTGGCTTCTGTCTAGGTGAGAAAGCATCTCTTACACCTCTGACACCTGACTGTGTAAAATTATAAATTCACTGAAAAATAAAGCGGGCCTTACTAGAATGGAGAAACCTAATAGGAACACAACAGCACAGTCCAACCTAAAATAAACAACAACTGTGTTCATGCACAGCAAGATTAATTACAAAACTTTTGCAAAATAGTCTGTGGAGCAGACCGCCAACAGAATTACATAAAGCAATGAATTTCTTATTATTATGAATGCAAACAAGTATTGAACTGTTCATTCTAGTCTCATACCACTTGGTCCGAGCATGTCATACTTCCACTGTATATTTGTATTTTTATTAAGTTTTATTAAATTTTTGAGAAGTATGCTAAAAAAAGCCCCCAAAACTTGAAAGAAACTTTTTTTCTAGATGACTGTAACAAATGAATTTTTAAGATATTTACAATAATCAGAAAGAAGTCTTACTTAAGATAAATCTATGAAAGTGATTTGCCACATAAAAATTGCGAATTTTGGGACAAGACTTGAAAGAATTTTGCAATAGCTTTAGTTAAAATTTTTTATATAA